CAGTTAACTTCAGCTTTGTTACCATATTTTGCATTTCACTGCTGGTTTTTGGTGGTTCAAATTGTTTATGCGTTGAGAAATTGGCTTATGAAACAACATACAGTCATCATCCCCACCCCTTACCTGTGATTCCATTTTCACAATTTCAGTTGCCTGTGGTCAACTGCGGTACAAAAGTACTAAATAAAAAATTCTAGAAATAAGCAATTCATGAGCTTTAAATTGCATGTCATTCTGGGAAGCACAATGAAATTTCACACCATCCCACTCTGTTCCACCTGAGAGGTGAATTATCCCTTTGTCCAACAGATACATACTGTCTATGCATCCTGCCTGTCACCCACTTAGCCTTTTTGGCTATTAGATTGACTAGCACAGTACCACAGTGCTTATGCTTAAGGCATTCTCATATTACTTAATAATGGCCCCAAAGTGCAAGATTACTGATACTGGCAATTCTGATATGCCAAAGCACAGACATAGAGTACTTCCTTTAAGGGAAGAGGTGAAAGTTCTCCACTTAATAAGGAAAGAAAAAAAAAATCATATGTTGATGTTGCTAAACTCTACAGTAAAAATGAGTCTCCTATGCATGAAATTGCAAAAAATGAAAAATTCCTGCTAGTTTTGCTGTCACACCACAAACTGCAAAAGTTAGAGCCCCAGTGTTTGATAAGTACTTAATTAAGGTTGAAAAAGCATACAATTTGTGAGTGGAAGACATGAGCAGAAACATGTTCTGATGGACAGCAATCAAGTTTGGTATTATCTGGTTTTTGGAGGAGGGGAATGCTAAAACATATCCCCGTGAATAAGGATGGACTACCGCACTTTCCATGTTGTAGTCACATTCCTCTCCACTTGACAATCACTTAGGAGCTAAATTTCCCACCTTCTAGACACACATTCTAGCACATCAGATAGAAAGGGAAGACATTGGTAGATTAGAATTTCTAAAAGATTACTGTGGTGCAGGATCACAACTCAGATTGTAGACACCTTTGGACTTCTAAAGGGAAAAGAGAACTTAGATTACAGAGGTGGCAGTGATGATGAAATAACCAGATGTCCAACACCAAAAACCTCTAAATAGAACAGAAAGGTGTCTATTTCAAGAAACGATCTTAGATGTCAATGTTCTCTCTAAAATCCAAGTTTTATACACACACACACACACACACACACACACATAAACACACTATAATATATGTATACACGTGTGTGTGAGTGCATGCGCACGTGTGTGTGTGTGTGTATGATGGTTTATTCTTTTGTTTATTTATTTATTTTTTTTTTTGAGTTGGAGTCTCATTCAGTCACCCAGACTGGAGTGCAGTGGCCGTTCCCGGTCACCGCAGCCTCACCTTCTGGGCTCCGGCGATCCTCCCGCCTCAGCCTTCCGAGTAGCCGGAATTACAGGCGTGAGCTACCACGCCCGGCTGATTTTTTGATTTCATTGTAGAGATGGGGTCTCGCTGCCCAGGCAGGTCTCGAACCCACAGGCTCAGGCAATCCACTCACCTCAGCCTCCCAAAGGCGCAGGATTACAGGCTGAGCCACCGAGCCCGGCTGTTTATTTTTGAGTTGGATTCTTACTCTGTTGCCCAGGTTGGAGTGCAGTGATGCTCACGGCCTCGCATTCTCGACCTACTGGGCTTAGGTGATCCTTCCGCCTCAGCCTTCCAAGTAGTTGGAACTACAGGCACGCACCACCACGCCTGGCTATTTTTTTTGATTTATTGTAGAGACGAGGTCTCGCCAAGTTGCGCAGGCTGGTCTCGAACCCATGGACTCAGGCAATTCTCTCACCTAAGCCTCCCAAAGTGCTGGGATTGTAAGCTGAGCCACTGAGCCCGGGCATGATGGTTTATTCTTGAGTCAAACTTGAGGACTTAAGCCTGGGTACACCCACCCTCAGGAGGTCCCGAGAACATGTGAAAGTCTGAATTGTGATACCTCACATCTTTAAACAAAAGGAGGAGAAAATTTCATAGAAAGAGAAAGTAAAATACAACTTAATGACATACTAAAGTAATTTTGTGAAGTAAGATTTTCTGCCAGTCATCTTTTCTCCTCATGTTAGTACTCTCCCCATGTGAACTGCACATGCCCAGACTAGGACTGATACAAATATGAGGAGAAATATGAATGACACAAGTTCAAGAGATTAAAACATTATAAAGGTTAATATTGGGAGTGTAAACTTGAAAACAGATGAGGAAAAACGCCTGTCATGCTTATAAAGGCTTCTTGAAATTAGATGCTAATATTCTTTGACCCCTGCAGTATTGTTACTACAAGAGTGGCATAATAGTTCATGTTAGATACTTGACTTTAAATGTTAAGAATAAATTCTTTCAGTATAAATCGCATTTTTTGAATTAAACTCTATTGTCTAGATCATTGTTGTCCAATAGAAAGTACTGCAGACTGTAAAGTGTGAGCTGCATATGAAATGTCAATTTTCTAGTAAGCTCACTGAAAAAGTAAAAATAGGTAAGTGAAATTAATTTTAGTAACATACATTTATTTAAGCTAATCTGCCCAAAATATCAAGCCAACAAGTAATAGATATAAAATGTAATGAACTATTTAACATTTTTACTTTTTTGTAATGTTTTTGAAATTCAACTTATAAAAGTAAAGTACATCAAATCCCAAAATACCAAATTTTAATTAAATATGCACATACTAGTGTTTCCATATTAGATAACGGAGTTCTCAGTTTACTTTTTATGGTATTATTTATCCAGAATGAAAAGATATAGTAAAATACAGACTACTTATGTTTTTGTTGATATCTAACAATTACACTCCTTCAGACAGGAAAAAAAAGTCATACCCCTTTTTTATGTTTTAGGGAGTGCCTTTCTAAAATACTTTCAGAGTATAACCTTTGGAAACTCCTCATCTCACCTCTTATCTCAAACACGGTGAATTGTTGCCACATTAAATGCTTAAATTTGAATATTTGTGAGAGCGCATTATTCATGTTTATTATATTATACATAAATGAATAAACATTGAACTAAATTGTTGCTGAGTGATTGACAAAAATGTCACATTTTAGAGACATTTGATTAAATGTATTGATTTTTGTTTTAGTTATCTTATTTTGGAAGCATTGCATATGTTTTTGGCTTCCAACATTTGTGGCCTTTGAAACCCTCATAGACCCTTGGCCTTGTGTTCCTAGTGCCAAATACATAAAACCATCCTGGCTTAAATTTCATTTCTCCGTGACTGCTTACAAAATATAGGAACACTTTTATTCCTTTCGTTCTCAGTACAATTGGCACCTACAACAGGCTTTTGCTAACTTAAGTTTTATCACCAAGGTATTTTTGTTTGTTTTTGTTCACATTGGCATCATTTGTCCACACTTACTTGAATGCTTATTTTCTGTTTCTGATCTAAAGAGGCAAACTTTTTTGTTTTTCTCATTAAGGACCTAGGACATTATAGAAACTCATGATTCTAATCCAATATGATTATTAGATAAGTGAAGTTAAAAATGCTTGTTATAAGAAAAAGTGCAAAGCTCACTTTACCTAAATGAAGAGTCAAAATTGTCCTTTTGGTATTGATCAAATATTTCTCTAAGCTGCACACATCTACAAAATAATTCCCACATATCCAGAACTTCTAGTGCATCCAGACTGGAGAAGCATTTTAAAAACTTTTAGGCTTATAAAGCCTTCTAACACCTGACATTTTATCTATCGTTTACGTTTTGGTAAGATCATTTACTTTTACATTAGCGATTTATCTTGCTCTTTCCTGGATGGTCTTAATCTTTCAGCTCTCTAACCTCAGGAACCTTAGCTTTTTTAAAAGTGTTTTCTTTATTCTCTGAAGTTCTTAATCTTGGCCTATTTTGCTCCTCCCAGGGGACATTTGACAATGTCTGGAGTTTTCTTGTTGTTGTTGTCACAGCGGGGTAGGGGAGAAGATGCTACTGTCATCTAAGTAGAAGAAAAGGGTGTTTCTATATATCTTTTTTTTTTTTTGAGTTGGAGTCTCACTCTGTCGCCCAGACTGGAGTGCAGTGGCCGCTCCCGGCCACCGCAGCCTTGACCTGCTGGGCTCCAGCGATCCTTCCACCTCAGCCTTCCGAGTAGCCGGAATTACAGGCATGCGCTACCACTCCCGGCTGATTTTTTGCTTATTGTAGAAATGAGGTCTCGCTGCCCAGGCGGGTCTCAAACCTGCGAGCTCAGGCAATCCACTCACCTCAGCCTCCCAAGGGCGCAGGATTACAGGCTGAGCCACTGAGCCCGGCTCTACATATCTTAAAATGTACAAAATAGCTTCCAAATGACATGGTATTGTCAACCCCAAGATGTGAAGTTGAAAATCTTACTCTGACTTAATAGTTTCCTTTACAATAGTAATTTCTATTGTCTCCTTAAAAATGATTATTAAATTTAAACAAATATTGCTTCTGTTTATAATATATCTTTTGCCTCATTGTCACTAATATTTTTTTCAAGTCTGTAAAAAACTAAACTTGGGCCAAGCGCAGTGGTTCTAGCCTGTAATCCCAGCACTCCGGGAGGCTTTGGTGAGGGGATTGCCTGAGTCCACAGGTGCGAGAAGAGCCTGGGCAACTTGGGGAGACCTCATCTCTACAATAAAGCAAAACGTTAGTCAGGCATAGTAGTATGCCCTTGTAGTTCCATCTATTTGAAAGGCTGAGGTGGAAGGATAACCTGAGCCCAGCAGGTCAACGTGGGATGGCCATGAGCATGCCATTGCACTCTAGTCTAAGCAATGGAGTGAGATTACAAACAAATAAAAAAACCAAAAAGCAAACAAACAAACAAAAAAACAACTAAATTTATTCAAGGTAAAAAAGTTGAGTAGCAGTGAAATTTACCAATGTAATACTTTTAAAGTCTTTTTTCTGTTTCTTCACTTTATGGCAGATATGAGATTTTTGATGAATATCATCATGCAGTTTTACTAATTTAATGTATCTTTTTAAATTTACTTTATAGGTCCCTTTAGATGGAATATAATACAGCAGAAAACTTTTCATCAAAAGGATTAATGCCTGCATTATCATTTCTGCAGTAAAACAAGAAACTAAGTGGTGACCACAGAGACCTCAAACCTGGATTCCACAATTCTCCATTAAGTGCTGGAGTTTCTATCACTCTGCTGTAGGAAAGCCTTTGCCAATGCTTACAAGGAACTGTTTATCCCTGCTTCTCTGGGTCCTGTTTGATGGAGGTCTCCTAACACCACTTCAACCACAGCCACAGCAGACTTTAGCCACAGAGCCAAGAGAAAATGTTATCCACCTGCCAGGGCGATGGTCACATTTCCAACGAGTTAAACGTGGCTGGGTATGGAATCAATTTTTTGTGCTGGAAGAATATATGGGCTCCGAGCCTCAGTATGTGGGAAAGGTAATGGCGTGTTTTTTTGTTTTTTGGGTTTTTTTTTACAACCACTTGATAGGAAGGGGGAGTATGCATTGTGTATTTTGTATGGATGTTTTGCACAGGAGTTGAACAAACCAGTGACTAGAACACTGGAATTGAAATCCAAGAGACCTGGTTTAGCTTCCTGACTCAATGGCCTGGGTAAGCTTCGGAATATCATTTAACCTCTCTTTGCTGCAATTCCTGATTATTAATGAAAATAATATATATTTTGTTTCCATCTTTGACACTGTTTGCTGAAGAAATGAGGCTAAAAAATGCAACTGTCATCAAGTATAATTAGAAGCGTAGTTAGAAGTATAGTATAATATAATAATATGGTATAATAGTATAAGATATAGCATGGTATAATATAGTATATAGTATGGTTATAATATAGTTATAGCATATTATTGCTTACAGTCAGATTGGAATTGTTTAACAACAAGAGATTCAGAGAAAAATCACCAGGCATAAATACCCTAAACTTATATTGGTGTTCTTGAATGACCAGGTGGTATTCTTTCCATTTTTCCTTTAAAACATGATATACCATTTGGATTGTGGGTTTGAAGTATTGATTTGGCTTACTTATGATATATTAAGAATTACTTTATTATATGTTTCACAAGCTATTTTTTAAGCTATTTATGGCTAAAATAATAAATGTTGGAACCTTAAAATGTATACGTTAATCTTCAACATGGCACACAATTTTAAAATCTTATCACAAGTTTGTAGAAATTTATTTTTTGTTTACAAAATAATTGGTGGCAAATATCTGTTTCAGCCTAGAGTACATAGAACTTATCCTTCCCACCAAATATTTTTTCTCTAAAAATAAATATTTTATTTTATTTTGGTGGTGTGAATTCTTTTCTAAATTTTCCAAAAATTTTTTTTTCTGGAGTTTTGATTTTAAAAGACATGCTTTATGAGGGTTTAAAATAAAGCCATGGGCAAAAATGGAAAATTATAGACAAAGAATATTTGGAAATAAATATAGAGAATCTTGACTATTGACTATTACATTTATTGAAATGTCTGAAAACATAAGCTAAAGAAAAATGATAGGTCTTATAATTTCAGCGATAGGTCAAGGAAAGCATATCTATTCCAGATCTTAATTCCTTATCACATTCTGTTTTGAAATTTTCCTTGAATAAATATATTTAAAAGATATTGAGTGATGCAGTAAAAAAGTATTACAACAGAACTTTTGTTGAAAATGAACACAGAGACAAGGTTGCCATTAAGGTATAAAGGACCCCAGACAAAGTATTTTCACATGTATAAAAATGTATCTGTGTATAAAAATTGAGTAACCCCAAATCAGTATGTGAGTACCGTTGTGTCAGTCCCATTTCTAAGGATCTTACTTAAAAAACAAAACAAACAACAACAACAAAAAAACAGAAACAAAGCAAATAGTACCATTAAGCAAGACAGGCTCCCTACTAGGAATCAGGACGAAGTTATCTGGCCCTGGGAAAACCGTATAGTACCATTACTGAAGCTCCACTGAGCACCTATGAACACATAGATCGAATAGAAGGTCAAAGAGAGCTTAAAATGAGAAAAATGGACACTGAGGCCCAAATGGTTCCAGTACAGACCAGAGTGCCATTCTCAAATCCCATTGCTGGCTACAAATAGCCCTAGGAACAGGAAGGGTTTAGAACATTTTGAGGAAGGTATTCCAAAGTATGGAAGTCCCCTGAAGTAATGGCACAAAGCTTCTGCTTATATAATTTCTCAGTATGATTGTGGAGTATAACAATTTCTAAAACATTTTTATGATAAGATATCTATGTAGTCCTGGTGCATTCTTTCTTTTGATCTAATTTACAATAAGGATAGGATTTGAGCACTCCAGATAAGTGGAAGTGTTTGTCAGAGCTCTAAAACTCTGCTTCATGGATATCAGTTATGTCACCTCTGTTTATGATAGAAGCTAGACATCACATTGAGGTGACTGACAGACGCTGGAGAGGAGATATTCTCTGGTTTTGGTTGAAGTAGTTTCATACTCTTTAGTTTCCATAGTCAGAGGTGATCAAGTTGAACTTAGATTGAAAAATTAATAAAAGGTACTTTTATTTGATTCTAGATAGGGTAGTATTTCTCCTCTTAATGAACACAATTCAAAACAATCTATGGGATTGTTTGCAAAGGTTCTTGTTTGATACTCTAAAAATCTACTTTTGTGATTGCTATGACAATATGGAACTCATACAGTTTATTTAAAAGATGAATTAGTATATATAACTGTGATTAAAAAGGAGTAAGTCTCACATCTAATCTATTGTGTTTGAACAGCATTTTTTCCACAGTACATGGCTTCACATTAGTGATGGGTAATGAAAAACCAAGGTTCTCAAGCAATGTACATCTCTAAATGGAAATGAAATAACAGTTGCCAAGATTTCCTTTCCAAAAGAAAACTAAACAAAGTTTAACTAACTCTGTATTAATGCTTCTAGGTTTGAGAATAGAAATATGATAACACGGGGACCAATTCAAACCATTATATGTGTGTGTAAAATATATGCTTATACTTCTACTGTTTCTAGAAAGGCTTTCTGACCACTCACAGAAAAGTAAAGTATTCTAAAGATAGTAGAACTCAGGGTTAAGGTCAAAAGACAAATGCAAATGTGCCAAACACAATGTTCAACTGACTACAGTTAACCCTTGAACAACTCAAGTGTTTAGGTGCACTCAGTCTTTTCACCCACCCCACACAGTTGAAAATCCAAGTATAACTTTTGATTCCCTCACAATGTATCTACTAATAGTCAATTGTTCACCAAAAGCCTTAACAATAAAATATTCAATCAGCAAATATTTGTATGTTACATTATTATGTACTGTATTTTTACAACAAAGTAAACTACAGAAAAGAGTTATCAAGAAAATAATAAGAAAAACAAATATATTTCCTGTTCATCAAGTGGACATGGATTATCTTAAAGTTCTTATCCTCATTGTCTTCACATTAAGTAGGCTGAGGAGGAGGAGGTGGTTTTGCTGTCTGTGGGGTGGCAGAGGCAGAAGAAAATTCATGCATTGCTGGACCCATGCAGTTCAAATCTGTGTTGTTTAGGGGTCAACTGTACTATTCTGAGTCTCCATTTTGACTTTCTGGGTTTTTTTGCAGAAAGAACACATATGGAAAATTAATATGTATAGTTCCCACCATTGGCAACTCCACTATTTTGGAGACACACTGATTTTCCTGCATTCAAATCTAAAAAAAGTCTAGCTGCAGAAATTTACAGAGGAAACCCTGAGTAGCTTAGTAGACATTCACCTCAACAACCATTATATTTAAAAGATCAGTTGTTAATATTGACATCCTTTCACGAAAGACCAAATTGTGCTGTAACTTATAAAGAATATTACTTTATTTGCTATACAGAGAAATCACAGCAGTATCCAGAGGTTAAAGCCAATACTTACCTTAAATACACATCTTGAATTTGCTACAATCCCTAAACCGGTAGAAGTCTCCACATCTTGAATTTGCTACAATCCCTGAACTGGTGTAAAATTAAGACAGGAATTAATTTTATCTGCAAAAATGTTTTTAGTCAGATGTTACAAGTTGCTCAAAATAACCACAAACAAAAACCTGCATTATTACAGACACACACAAACACATGCACAAGTGTGCATACACATACAAATAAGTTGGATGCTTACACCAGCCTAGATCATCGCATGCCTGTGTGGTACTAAGTTTTGTCATAGACTCCAAGTTATGTATCAAGAAAATGCTGCCTATTTTAGTCTCAAAGAATAATTTAGAAAATTAGGTTATCATTTCAGATTAGTCATAGCAACAATTCTTAAATCTAAATTGTTTAAAAGGGCAAAAAAGGTTAAATACAAGGTGGGCTCGGTGGCTCAGCCTGTAATCCCGCGCTTTGGGAGGCTGAGGTGAGTGGATTGCCTGAGCCTGCAGGTTAGAGACCCGCCTGGGCAACTTGGCAAGATCTCATCTCTACAATAAACCAAAAAACTAGCCGGGCATGGTAGCGCGCGCCTGTAGTCCCAGCTACTTGGAAGGCTGAGGCAAAAGGATCGCCAGACCCCAGCAAGTCGAGGCTGTGGTGGCCAGGAGCGGCCACTGCACTCCAGTCTGGACGATGGAGTGAGACTCCAACTCAAAAAAAAAAAAAAAAAGGTTAAATACATATAAACCCTAGTTTCAGAGGTATTCTTGTATTCAATATATTTTGTATTAAGACTACATTATAAATTAAGACACTATTAAGCCTTGTGGGAATAAATGTGAGTATACAGGTCTCTAGATTAATAGGTAAAGTTTATTGAGGGCTTCCTTTGGACATAGTTTTAATTGTTTTACAGATATAAACTTACAGTATCTTCAAAACAGCACTATGAGGGAAATTATTAGTAACCCTACTTTACATATCAGAAAACAAGTACAGAAAAAACCAAATAACTTTCCTGTGGCCCAACACTCATTGCATGCCAAAACTAAAAATTTATGCCAGGTAATCCAGTTCAATTGCACCAGAAAAGACATGGTTTATTATCCTGTAAGACTCTTAAGTGCTAACAATAATTTTAATACTCTGTTTAAAGAATAATAATAGAGACACTATTAGGGACTGTGGCAACACCACAAGACCTATGACTTCGGCAATACGATAACAGAATTTAAGAAAGTCTTCTCAGATGAGGGAGCACTTGAGATGAGTATTGAAGGATGATTTAATTTTTCCAGAAGAGGTCGTATGGGGAAAAGTTTTTGTAAGCACCGAAGCTTGAAAGTTCAAGGTGAGCCTAGGTAGCAATATATCAGTACAGTCATAGAGTGTAAAACCAATTATTTGGAGTAGATAAATACGGAAAGTGTGGAAAGGTTCAATTCTAATAGCTAGATGAGTAGTATTTATTCTCTAAGGTACAAAGATCCATGAAGTATCTTTGTTGGGGATTAATATCAGTTGAAT